CGCACGCGAGCACCCCCAGTGCGAGCACGGATACAACAAATTCGTCGTCAGCGGGGTGGTGTGGGCGTTCGCGCATGCGGCGTAACGGGAGTGGCTGATCGCTAAGGCTGGTCGAGCGAACGGTTCGTGGAACGGCTTCAGTGTGCCTATTGCAGGGTTCCACGAGACAACCACCCCTTGTCTCTACACTCTACAGTCGAGTCTGCTGGTGTCGTTATTGTCACGGTGGACGGACGTGTGTGCGCGCGCGCGTGCTCCACTCTCTCTGGATCCGCCGGCGTAGTAGTGGTCGTTCAGCTGACTCGACGTACTCCTTTGTAACAAGGGTTGCTCTGCGACGGCGTCTTCTTTCACGCAGCAGCAGCAGCAGTGGCAGTAGCAGTAGGAACAGCAGCTGCTCAACCAAATATCTGGATTGAATTTCGAAGATCACGTACCATCCGTGTATATATGCACACGTACATATATGTACAGTCGTGTTAACGTGCGTCTGTGTATCTCGCGAGTTCGATCGTGTGTCTCTCTCTTTCTCTCTAGCCTCGATATCTCTCTGGCTGCCGCACGTATATGTATATATACACAGACACAGACGCAGAGGGAGGGAGGTGAACGTGTGAACGAGTACGCGTCAGTGTCGGAGAGGTGCACCACGGGGATGTGCTTCTGGTGAGTGTTCGAGAACCGTGCGTGCTCGGTGGACACGAGGCCAGATGCGTAGCCCGAGGACGTGCGGTTTTCCAGGGCAAACCACGTCCACCACTCTTCCAACACGTCGATTCGCGCACTGACAATGGTAAGACGTCCCCGGGGCTGTGTTTTGGTAGCTTCCTTGACCGCGATGGGGCACGTTGACGTTGATTTATCGAGCGCGGATGATCTGTTTCGTGCCCGTTTCCCGTTGCTAGGTACACGCGAACTAGAGAGCCTCTTGTGTGAGAATTTTACGAGCTTCGCGAAGGAAAAGAATGGGACCAGGATTGTGGGATCATCTCTCTTTCTCTGTCTCTCTCTCTCTCTCTCTCTCTCTCTGGTTCAGTTTGGAACGTTCTATTTCGTCGAAGAGAGAGAGAGAGAGAGGGTGAGCATCTCTGTTCTGGCACGGGCAAGAAACAAGCAGACCTGGAAAGAGCATGGAAATCGATGTGCATCCCTCTCTCGGTTGAATAGGATTAGATAAATGAAAATGGACTTGATACATCGCTCGTTTCACCTTACGATTCACGTTGCCAGCGTGTGAGTGCTCGCGTTCACGTTCGTCCAGGGTTAGCAACCATATGCAACCGTCTCGACGTATTTTTTCCGTTTTTTTTCAACGTGTAGCAGGATGTTTGATCAATTATTTATTCCAGCCGTTCCTTCGCTTGCTCGACCTGCGTCTAATATTACCGTTACAGCACGTACAGTGTAACTGTGCTTGTTTTTTTAACGGTTGATATCGTTCCACTGCGAATTGAATTTCGCTCCTCAAAGGAGACGTTCGAATCTATTAACCAATTGATACCGTCAAAGGGTTTCTCTCGAAACATCGGCGAAAAGGCCACAAGTTCGAGTTGCATACCGTCTCACCGTGCGTCACACGCTTTCAACTGAAACGCTGATAAACCTGATCGATTTATCCCCGGTATCGCGAATCTTCGTGCCCCACCGACACATCTGCATTTAAGCGCTTTTGTAACAGGTGGGTATACCTCACGTCGGACGTGATTAAGCGAGAGAAAGGAAAAGAAAAGCGAACCTCGGGTCCTTGTTCGTCGCAACTGAAACGATCTCTCGTTATTGTATCTTTTCCTTTTTTATAAATACCGTAATATCGTACATCTCCGGTGAAACGAATGTCTCAAAGCTAACCGTTCCGTTACGCTTCGAAGAATTTAATAACTACCCACCCGGTTGCCTTCGACTGGCAGTAGAGAGAGAGAACCTCTTCGGTATCGTTTGTTCGCAGCAACAATACCGTCGGCTATATTTAAGCATCTGAATAAACAAAGACGAGGCATCGGTTAATGAATAATTCCTCGTGTTTTCTGCAATACACACAGACACGTTCCGTTCGAGCCGCAGCTACTGCACACCAAACTTTTCTCTTCGATTTTCAATAATCACCTACAGAGTTATTCGTGTAAATTCGCGTTACAACAACTTCACGATTGCATTCCCTCCTCGGCCGAAGTACGGCGTATCCGAACCGCAAGCTTTATCGAATAGCTTCCTCCGATAGCCGTGAAATCGCGTGGTAAAAACCGCTGGTCTCGGAGTAGAGTCTGAAAGTTTTGCAAACGGAGGGTGCGTTTACGCGAGGTAGAAGAGAGGAAAAGAAAGATAGCGATCGGTGATGATTTGCAGACCGGTGATAAAAATGCGTCTCGCACGAAAGAAGCTACGCGGTGCCGTACCGGCGAGCATGATCCCGAGGAAATGAACGCAAGGTCGACGGATCATGCATCACGAAAACGGCTGAAAGGCGGCTGCAGTGCGTGCAACAAGAGGCGGCTCAGGTGAAAGTGACGATGAAGAAGAAAGAGCGGCGTTCCTAATTGGAGAATGAGCGGATTTTTCAACTCGCTGAAAAACTTCGCGTCGGGAGCCGCGTACGCTGCCAGCTCTTCCTCCAAGTACGAAGAACTGGAAGGTGATACGAAATAAAATTCTCAACGCTCTGCATGCGTCTCGTTTTCTTTTTTCCTTCTATAGATATATCTCCACTGAAGTATATGTATACGTGTGTGTGTGTATTCGTTCGTTTGCTCTCGTTCGAGCGTGCATGCGCGAATTTCAATTAACGTTCGTTCGGAGATTTTTCTTTTTTAGAAATTTGCCCTTTTCCTTTGACTCCAATTGAACGCTTTTCCTCTCTCGCCCCGTGTTTTTCAAGGAGGAACGCGAACCGCGTCGGTGTGATTTTATTCGCGAGTTTAATTCGACGCCGAGCGGGTGTTGGGTATCGTTATCGATTGTTCCGAGTAGTATTTTCAAGAATAGGTTTGTTGTTAACCCTTCTCCGATTTCTTACGATCGACAATGTTTATTGCGTAACCGAGACCGACCGTTGGAAGTGATATACGAGTTGATTGGATCAATCCTTGAAGTAGACACTCTTCAAGTTTATCCCGGTGGTAATCGTATTTCCACTTGGACCGTTAGTTTAAATATCGTCACCAGCGATTGATCGTTGCTTCTTTCTTTTGGATAAAATAAATCGAGTAATCGCGGCAGCCGACAGTAGCCGCAAATTGCGCGCTGCACCGTCTGTGAAGTTTCTTATAACGCGCGTAGATTTCAAGGTTGCCGCCGCAAACTGCTTTACAAGCTACTAGAAATTCATGAAACGGCCCCGACAATCGAATAAGTTTCGAATCGAGTTTCTCGAAAAGTTCCTTCGCACACGCACGCCTACTTCCGTGTACACTTTATTTCGGAATTGAAACAAGGCGGCGGGATGTGTGGACAGAGGCGCGAAGAGGGGATTCCGTTAAATGGAATTCTCGTTGGAACAAAACGCGAGGCGACGGTTCGAAGGAGGAAGATTCAGTTACGTGTTACCGGATGATTCGAGTTACGGGAATTCGCGAAGCTTATCCCTCGGACAACAAAGGGATAATGGATACCAATCCATGTGTGTATTTGTAATACACTGTGATAGACGGGTTATGGGACTGCACGTTTGTCTGTTCAGGGTTGAGAAATTTACGACTGGACAGGTATAGGCACCGTAGCTTGTTCACGCGAAACAGTATGTATTTCGCTAATGAACTCGTCCTGTTCGCTTGAATCACGTATGAATGTAGACATGATTTTTTGAAGAAATCGTCGCGGATAATCATCGCGCTTCCGTGGAAATGGAGGTTGAAATATTTCAATGTTAAGCTCACGGAGTGATGAAATGGATAATTTATGCTGAAATTCCTGGTACCTCGCAGATGTTGAAGATGTGTTACAGGATTTGAGAGGGACTGTTCCGAGAAACAACGTTCCCTGAACTTGAAGCTTCAAATTTTCATTCGCACATTGTACCAATCAAATTCAAATGTTAAAACGAAAGAAATGAAATTGGAATTTTCAAAATTGGACTAATTAAATTCAGCCATTCGAATGAAAATATTGAAATTCAAGAAATTGTACTGAAATATTCAAAATTAAATTGAGGAAATTGAAATTTTGTAATTTTGCCGAAAAGGAATCGATTGATCAAATTGGAATTTTCAAAATTGATCTAACCAAATTCAGAGATTTAGAATTCAGCCATTCGAATGGAAATATGCAAATTGAAGCAATTATATTGAAATATTGAAAATTCTGTCGAAGAAATTGAAATTTTCAGGTTGATAAGAATTTCGTAATTTTGCCGAAAAGGGATCGATTAATCACACCGGAGACAGGATTTGGCTGAACACGGCTGCGAGCGGAAAATTTGTCGCGAATCCGACGCAAAGATTTGCGATGGCTAATTAAATAACGGCGTTAAAGGCGATAAAACTGTCTGGCCGATAAACGCATTAATGAGCTTCGCGTTCCGTGATCGTCGAACCGTTCAATTCTGATTTAACCGAACATCTTTTGTCGCATGCTCGACGCGTCGCGTTGCATTAAGTGGAACGTCTGATTGTAAAACTCCGTAAACCGAGGCAAATGCGAGCTGACATTTCGATCGAATTAGGGACATTAACGTTTCTGTTTGTTTAACGCAATTCAAACAACTCGAGCTATTTGACGAGTGGCCTCTTCTCTCCCATTCACCATCCTTCCCGTCCTTATGCGCTCTCGCAACTCGTGAAACGAAATTTTTCTTTTTCAACAACTTCCATTATATTCGCTATTTAAAAGGACGTTACAGCCTCACCTTTTGTCCCTTAATAATCCGCCAATTTCCCTGCTGTTCAATTTCATTTTACACCCACCGACGCGAGAAAACGTGAAATTTTTCACCCGAAAAAAGAAAAAACGGAAAAATGAAAAATTCTTCCAGACTGAGAAATATTTCTGGAATATGTTGCACTTTACAGTCGAAGACACGAAGATGAGATTTAGCCTGACACCGCAACCAGGAGAAAGTGGTTTTATACAATGGCTGGACGCGATGAAAATGGTTGCCAGGTTACCTGGAGGAATACCGCCAGAATTTCGAAAGAAGGTGAGCATCAGACGAGATTCATCGACTAGAAGCTCTCGATTCGTAGCGATCGATTTTTCCATTTCTCCCAAATTTTTCTTTTCTTTCTCTAAATATTTCGCAGTTATGGCTGACGCTGGCAGAACGTCATCTAGAGCAACGCAGCGTAGATTGGAAGAGCGCTGAAAAGATCTGCTTCAACGAGTGGAGCAATCCCGACGATGAAGAGCTCGGTATACAAATCGTTAAAGTAAGACTACGAAACGTAACGTCCTTTCCACGATAGTTCCCTACGTGTATATTAGTGCTCTCGTGAAATCCACGCTTTCCCATTCCTAACGAATTTCTTCAAGGGCCCTCGACGAAAATTTGAAATTCAAATCTTTTATCTCTCAGTTTTTTTCCCCCCCTCTCGATTCTTCCCAGTCCTCGCCTTTTAAGCGTGCATTATCGACACAAAAGTAACGGGCATAATCTCATTTAGACGACGATTCACAAGAACCGATTCCCCACGTTGCTTGTTAACTAATAGGTCTTTAAAAGTGATTGGTAATAAATATTTATCCCATCGTTCGCATGCTGAATTATTCATCCATCCTACAAATTGTAATCTCCTTCAACTTCTCTAGATACGTATTACTCGAAACTCCTGTTAAAAACCATTTCCCAATCATCCTCGGAACCGTCACTTTCACTTTCCGCTAACATTTCAAACAAATTTTCCCAAATAATCCTGAAAAAGAAACCAGTTCCTGGCTTAATCGACCAACTTGTCCAGAAGTGTCCCGGTCAGGTGACACGATTGCCCACCTTCTCCCTCTCTCCCTTCGCCGTATAATTACGCGCAATTAAATTTCGATCATCCATCACTTCGACGCCGGCCAATTAAGTGTCGCCGATGAGCCCTCCAATTAATTTGCTTCTCGCGTACCGGCAGAAGAAGTGACCTTTAACGATGAATCGCCGAAACTCATTCGAGAGAACACGTTTCCATTTCCCTATATTTTCGCCAGCGTACAACGAAATCTGACCAACGGCCTTTTGTTCCTCTATAGGATCTACACAGAACAGGCTGCAGTCTATTTTGCGGCGCGGCTGGCAGAGACAATCAGGCGGTGCTTCGTCGAGTTCTGCTCGGTTTCGCCCGATGGAACAAGTCAGTTGGCTATTGCCAAGGCTTGAACGTCCTCGCCGCCCTCGTTCTGCAGGTCATGGATCGCGCAGAATCCGCGGCGGTGAAGGTGATGATCTACCTGATAGAGGGTGTCCTCCCGGAGGGTTACTTCGCCGACAATCTACGCGGTCTCTCGGTCGATATGGCGGTGTTTCGCGATCTGCTGCGCGCAAGGCTGCCGAAACTCTCGAAACACCTGGAGGCGCTGCAGAACGACGCGAAGGACAAGGCGACAGGTAACCAAACTGGTTGTGTAATCGTAACTCTCTGTTCTCCGAAACGGAGATTGGTCCCTTCGGCCGAAGTAACAACCGCTTTTTCATTCGTCCAGCAACGAAATAAAAATTCGTTTCAGGCAGCAGTTACGAGCCACCGTTGACGAATGTGTTCACCATGCAATGGTTCCTTACACTCTTCTGTCACTGTTTGCCCCAAGAGGCGGTGCTCAGGGTATGGGATCTGATATTCCTCGAGGGAGATGAGATTTTACTGAGGACCGCGTTGACCATCTGGGAGGGACTTTCGGAGTAAGTGGCTTGCACTACCTCGCTCGAGAAAGTTCCCAATTATTCGGCAAATGTTTAACCGTAGAGTAACAGGAGTTCGATGGAATATATTTTTCACTCTTCTGGTGTATTTAGCGAGTTCGATACACGCTACAGCGATCACATAATTACAAAAATAGAAGGCGCTTATATTTTTGCTGTCAAATTTAAAAATTCGTTGGAAACATCGATCCAAGTTACAAAATTCGTCACAAACTTCTAGAACGACCTGATACATAAAGAATTTCCAAATTAGAACAGAAAGTCACGGTACGCTCAAGCAGGAACGTTTTAACAATTTCCTTTCAGTCGGATCATGACAGTGACATCGGCAGACGAGTTTTACAGCATAATGGGAGTTTTAACGAGGGAGATGCTCGAATTCACAGACACGAACAGTCTCATAAAGGTTCGTTCTAGGCAAATTTCACCGAAACGTGATAATAACCTTCGGAAACTAACAGTCCACGTTGTAACGCAGAACATAGTTGTCATGGGAGCTTTGCAAGGCGTAACGGGACTGAGAGAGAAGCACCGATACAATATCACACCTTGGGCGAGAAAACTGAGCGACGATGACGACAGCGATACGGAGGAGGACGAGAGATTAGCGGTGGCTGCTGCGATGTTTAGCATGGCGCAGCGTTTGAAGAAAGGTGAGCGCATAATGCTACGGTGAAACACGCGATAAATATATTTTTACCGCGGATACGAAACGTTAGATTCGATCGTTCGCAACGTCAGTTTGCGAAATTTATGAAATGTCACATTTGGAGTTGCTCGGAACGGGTACGCTCACGCGGTGTAGAATTAACATTGTAATCGTTATACCGTTACGGTTATTAACTGCGACCATTGGAACACACATTCGCAGACCGTCTACCGCAAACGATCGGAGCCCTGCAGGCAATGGCACCCAGCAGCGACCGTGAACGGCTCGCTTTGGATATCGGCACGTTGAAACAGCAGTACGCCAAGTTACGGGAACGGCAACGACAGGCTCACATTATACTATCTGGTAATTGCTGATTCTAATCAGGAAATTAGATGTATTTGCTGAAGTTTTAAGGCACGATAAATCATACTCCAAGACATTTTTCTTCCACCCGCCAATTTCTCAGCTTCGCGTGGCGCGCTTGACGTAAATGTTCCCCGCATACGCATATTACACGGCGATCGATGTGTTTTAGAATAAGAGCAAATTGAAGTTAAAAAACAAAAGAAAAGGAAAAGAAACTTCTCTGTTGCAAAATTGAGAACGGCCACAAGAATGCATACACTTTTTTCTTGACGCAGCTGCATGTGCAAGGCAGACCATGGTACCACCTCCTACTTCTCAGGCCATGAATCATCTTTTAGTGGGCAAAAATGCGCTCGTGAGTGGGAAGAATCGACCCCTGAGCCTACCTTCTGGTAACGCGGCGCCGCCGCCGAAGACAAGACCCACGACACTAAATCAAAACCGTAGGGACAGACAGGGCGTCACGCTCCATTGGAAAGACACGAAGAAGCTGAAGCAAAAGACGTCGCCAGGTACGGTTAACCGAGACGTTCCACTGACGATCGAGAAGGATCTATGGCGTTTATAGGATAGAGAAAGAGTCGTGTGTGTTCGGATGGATGTTTATACTGAAATTCCTGACATTTTTAACGTACGTCGTTTTCAAACTTTTGAATTTCGTGGTTTTTTATGGTGAGAATGAGATGTTTCAGTTATCAGTTGTTGGTACAGATATACCGAGAGTAGGTAATTCAGGAAAGGTGTATCCTTCAGTTGGTAAGTATTATCTTCTGCTGTTCAGGCAGTTTCTGATTCTGCTTTATCAACATTGGAACATGAAGTACTCTGTATGAAATTTTTACCATTGCTTGGTTCTTATCAACTTAACCCGTTGAATTTTGTTGTATTATCGATTCCATCATATGTTTGCAGTGAAATTTTTTGAAACGAAAAGATTTGTTTTTGAAAGAAGAGAAGGTTATTTATTTTGAATTTTGCATCTTAAAGTTCTGCAATCACGAAAGAAGCTCCTTCAAATTTTCCATTACAGAGCTCTATTTTCCCTCATTCTCGCACAAATTTTCATTTCCACTTCATCTTCTCTCTGTCCCACAGGAACGCAAGTCACAGCAACGACGCTACAAACTACTGAAGTCGACCTGACGTCTCCAAAGCGCAACAGCGGCGACAGCGACAGCGACAGCACGTCCACGGAGTTGTGCGACGAGCCAGATCGTCTCAGTGATGTCGACAGCGAAGATCAAACTTCAACATCCGAATCCGGCGTTCTAGCAAAAGACGAAGAGAAGAGCACTCGAGTGGACATCTCGTCGACTTCGGAGAAGCCACTCGACCGTTCGTTGCCCGAGGAGAAGAAAACCGAGGCGATCAATCTCGAGGACTCGAAGGACTCGAATACTTGCGAGCAGAATTTGGGCGACATGTCGATCGCCAAGATCACCGATCAAATACGACGACTGTCCGAGGAGGATGACAATAATTCGATGGTTCCTCAGAAGTTCAGCGTGCAGACTAAAGAATCGCCAAACGGTTCCTCTACTAAGGAAATAGAGAAGGAGAAATCGATACCTGACCTACCTATGGATTTTACTCCGGATAGCAATATCGCGAAGAAATCGTTGGCTCTAGACGCGTACGATTATTTGGGATTTAGTAACAGTATTCTTAGCTCGAAAGAGGAGGAAGTGTTGGTACACGAGAGACACAAACCTAAGCAAACCATCGACGAAGTCGTGGACGTTCCTCGAGAAGAAGTTGCAACGGCGAAGAAAGAAGAAGTCGAGGACAAAGCACCTACTACTGTCGAACAAGATTCTTCGAAAATATTTTCAGATTACGCGAAACCGTTGGATCTAGAATACGACAAAGTCGCTGACAAACCTAGCCTCGACCCGGAGAAGGAAAACGAGGTGAAATCAGATCGTTTCAACTTCGACTTCTCCGCTAAAATATCTCTAGACGTGAAACCGTACGAAAGCTCGAAGGTGGGAAGTTTAATCAGCGACACTTCAAGCACAGTCAATACCGATAGAACACTTTACTGCAAGACCTACGTAGGTCATCTTCCTATTTCACCTATAACAGTCGATCAAAAGTTAAGCAAAATCACACCAACTATACACGGAACCAATAGTATCACGGTACTGACTCCTGAGAAATCAACAACTCTGGAAACAAGTTTAGAGAAGGCGTCTTTCACGGATAGAATACAGGTGCCACAGACGAAAGTCTATTCAGATCTGATGAAGAGTCCTAAGACTCCAGAGAGCAACAAATCCTTCAGCTCGGGCGAAACTATGGGACCTGATTCGAAACCTTCGAGCGTAACAGTGAGTCCAAGGACTCCGGTGAAGTCGGATTCTCGAGATTTCTCAATGGACAAATCGATGTGCTCGTCGGTCAGCTCTGATTCCAAGACTCTGGTCCTCCGTTCGATAGACTCCGACGGTACCAGGGACAGCACGAAGACGGACACGAAGAAATACGAAATATCAAGCTCAACGACACCGATCAGCACCGATTCCTTGAAGAACAAGTCAGAGGCTAGTCCGAAGCTCGTAGTGAGCAGTTCCAGCGATTCGTGCAGTCCGAGCAAGCTAAAGTCTTCCGAGAGGTCGTTCAGTTCGGATCTACAATCGCCAATAAGTGCCAACTCCATAAAATTTACCTCGAACTTCAATAGACGTGGCCAAGACGACGTGTCTGGCTCGTCTATGGATCTAAGCAGCGCTACGTCGCCGTTCTACCCGATTTCCAACCCTAATCAAAAGACTCCGCCGTCTCCTTACAGCACGTCTAGACGAAGATCTAGCTTGGACAGCAGCGAAACGTCGCCTGAACAAAAATCGACCAGTTCCAAGGAATCGAACAAGTATCTCGGTTATCAGTCCAAGTTCGACGCTTCCTTGAAGACGCCTGACGTGAAGGACATCGACAGCGTGTCTCGAAAAACCGACAGCTTGGTCAGATCAGAATTTAGTAGCAAAAAAGAGGATTCGAGTTTGAATTTGACCGAGAAGAGAAGAAACGGCGGCGACGATGTTAGTTATTATTCGACGGCTAGTACTGATTACTATAAGAACGACAAGGACGTGTTGGACGACGGAGGGGACGATCCTTTGTCGGAGAAAGACGTGGTACCGTGTTTGCCTCAGGAAAAGTTGGACAAGCATTATTTGAACTACCGTTACAGAGATCGATCGAAGTTACTGGAGAGAAGTTCCAGCAGTCTGGACAGTAGGAGGTTCGCCGACCTGAAATCGTCCTCTTCCACGGACGAGTTCGCCACTTCGATCGCCAAGAAGAGATCCAGCGACATTCTCGAGGACATAAAACACTTGGAGGCGAAGGCGAACGACGGAACGTCGGACAGCGGGATGATGACGAAGAAGAGCAGTTACATTTGGGAGGATCTGAAGAACCTCGAGGCCAGACGACAGGACACCTTCAGCAATTCCGCGAGAAATTTTTCGAAACGTCGCCTCGAGATACCCGATATAAACGTAACCGTGGAGGGTAGAAAATCGTACGTGGTTTATCCGAAGATCAACATAGACGAGAACAGCGATAGCATACTGAAGACGGTAGCGTGCAGCAAAGACGACAACGAAATCGACGACGGCAGAGAGTCGAAATTGGGAGTGTGGACGAAGGTGAAACCTCGGAAAAAGTGCGACAACGGAAGGAGAAACAGCGACAGAGCTTTGAAGATTATTCAAGAGAATTCCGCGATACTACAGAAGATCCTCGCCTGTCAGGCGAAGAAACGTCTGCCGGATCTGGAGGAAATCTCCAAGGAGATCACGATTAGCCCTATTAACGAGGAAATTTCGAAGATCTTCAGTCCGATATTGGAGAAGATGGGACTGAACGAGCACCAGATCAACGAAGAATTAGCGAGGATCAATTTCAAGGACTTCGACAACATGACAGCGACCAGCGTGTCCGAGTTCGACGCTAAGATCGACGACGAATTGTCCAAGTTGTCTTTGATCGATGAAACGGAACAGATGGACCATTTCGACGTGGACGAGATGATATCTCACGAATACTTAGACACCAGGGAAGCTCTGATAGACCGTAAGATTAACGAGGAGTTGTCGAAACTGTTGGCGAACTACGAGGAACACTCTCCCGCCAGTATGGTCACGCTGGACAAAGGACCGTCCAGTCAGAACGTGAGTGAAATCGAGGGATTAGATTTGTCCAGTATCTCCACGAACGTGTTCTCCTATAAATCGTCCAACGACTCGATCGACGCGAGAAGCGACTTGGGCTCGACGCAGGAGTCATCCATCCCCGTCGACAACTTTCCTAAATACACGGAAAACGTGTTACCGTACGCTGTACCGAAATACCAGCTGGACGATTCGTCGCCGAAAAGCGACATAGACATCTACAGAGAATTAGAGAAGCTCGACAAGATCTCGTCTGCACAGGTGTTACCTGATCCAACATTAGAGCTTCCTCAAAAGGATCTCTCCTCGATCCCCTACGTTCCAAACACTTCTCCGTTCAAAGACGTACCGCCGCTTAGATACACCTCTAAACCGGCCCAATACGACACGTCACCTATGAAAAGCTCCTACGATCCCTACAAAGCGTTCGACTTCAAGCCTAAACTGTCGCCAAAGCACGCCTCCACCAATCCATTCGTGACAGCTCCGTACGACAAACCAATCGTCGATACTACCTTCGAATACATCAATCACAAACCTGACCTCTCGATCAACACTTACGATTTACACCTGAAGAGTCCCATGATGACAAAAGAGTCTTTAGAATTTCGGGTCAGATACGACGACGATCCAAACAGAGAAGTTAGCAGCGATTACATGTCTCTTCAATCGGACGCTAGATCCATGGTTACCACGAACAAGTCTCCTTATTACAGCAACGGTAACACCGAGCCTATGACGTCACCTAAGTACATCTCCAAGGAAGACATGTGTTTGGACACTTTAACGCAACAGACTGCTACTTTCTTGGATTACTCGAGCGAACCCTCGGAGTTCCTTCGACGCAAGTACAATCCACTGTCGCCTAAGGAATATTCTCACGGGAAGAGTACAGATTACGACAGACACTTGAGCACGTTGCCGCCGATAGACACCGCAGATACAGGATCGTATTTACCGACGAGACACAGGGACTATCATCCTTTGTCTCCCAGTCGTCAGTTCTCCGATCAACACTTTCCCTCGGCGATCAATCACTACGCCTCGAAGCTCCCGCCGGGTATGTTGGACGAGTCGAAACGTCCCGTTTCTCACCCCGAATTCCCCGGTAAGCTACACGTTGGAAAATACACCGAGCTGTCCGACAGAGGATCGAGCAACTACAAGAAATCGTCGTTGAGTCTGGGTAACATCGGGCACTCTAGCAAAGCTGGAGAGAATAATTACAACACCGTGACTAGCCCCAAGACGCAATTCAGTCCGTTTCCGGTACGTAACGCGCCTAGGAAACCTAAGGAACTCACGTTGAAACTTGGTCTCTACTCGCCGAAAAGTTCCGACATAGGACAGTTGAAGAGGTCATAGTGTTTCACGAAGGAAAGCTCTAATTCTGCTTTTATCCTGGTGTTGATTTGTCAAATCTCGATGGTTGGTTGTTGAATTCTGAAGATGTATTTTAAGTGTTCGCGACTAGCGACAGTGACTTCGATGTTAATGAAAAAGCGGGCCTAAATTATTGTTTCTCGTTTGTGGAGCCTGATGTTGCCAATAGTCGAAGCCGATGTTATATGATTGTAATGAGTTTATGTGTGGGATAGACGATCGCAGGGAAACGAGAGAAGTCTGTTCTTCGGCTGACGTGCGAAGCACACACGGCGGAAGGATCTTTGGCTACCTTCGAATCCGAGATTCTTCTGTCACTCATATCATATCGTTAATTAATATGAAAAAAGGAGAGAATTTTTCTTTCGTCGATACGAATATAAGCGCGTCAGAAGAGAAGAGACTTCGAAACATCGCTCAACAAGATGAACACGTTAAACACCACTTTCACGATCTATTGCATACTTCCTCCCCTGTTAGTATTAATCATTAACTCCGTTTTCTCCGAATGTTCATAGTCTACGAACGTTGACTAATTGCAATCGTTTTTTACGAGCTCTGCTTCACACAGCTTGACACGAAAAATCTCTCTCTCTCTCTCTGTACTGCGGAAAAACTAACGCGAAGGAGGTAAAAAGAGAGAGAGAGAGAGAGAGAGAAAATGTGAAAGAGAAAGAGAGAAAAAAAAGCTTGCGAAATAGCGTAGAAATCCTTGGTCGAAACGTAAACTCGCGCGATTTCTAATGCGATGCCTTCAATCTCCCTCCAATCACGCTGGAAACCTCGTTATCGCGTCTCGATTATTCGGTAAATTGCGATAAGTAGTCCCGCGGAAGCGCACGAAGCTTATTAAAACGAGAGTGAAAAAGAAAAGCGAGGGGAAAGATACGTTACAAAATGCCTTCCATTCCTTCGAACGTGATTACTCGCTTTGCCACGAGTTCGTCTAGCATGCGATCGTAAATCACCGGTACGTAGATCGCCGCTCTGCGAGAACCGTGGTAACGTGAAATTTCCTTCGAAACAGATACAATATATAAGCGCAGCAGAGATTGTATAAAATTATAGAAGCTGTTACGGCGGAGTCGCGATATAGAGCTTAATTTGTCCGTACGTTTTTGCGCAAAAAGAAGAACCCTAGTCGTGCAAGAGAGGAAAAAGGAAAGGAGGCAGCGAGGAGACGATGAAACAAATTGTACATAACTATATAGACGTTAATTGTATATTATACCGAGAGACGAAAGGGGATAGAATGGATGAGAAAACAAAAGTGGAAGAACTACGGAGAGAGTCGCTCGAGATCTTTTTATATTAAATAAAAAGGGTAGTATTTTTAGATGTTTCTAATATGAGATATATCCTCGTATTGTCGCCATCATTGAACGCATCGGCTTAGCTTCAGCTAACGCTTGTCTCGCAACAAATCTTCGTTCCACTTGCTGATTACCAGTCGAGAAAATATTTCCAATTCGTTAAACGTGATTCTGAATTTTTCCGATGAATTTTTTCCTACGGATACTTTTCAACGCAGAACATCCCTCTTGCTGAAAGATTGTAAGCACGAATCCACGTTGTACCGTTAAATTTATGTGCGATCAGTGTAACCCTTCGTTCCGTCATGAGTTGAACGATAGTTCGATAATTAGGATTTCTCCGATCCCAGCTCGCGAACCAAGTCAGAATCCGCGTGTAATAATAGACAGATAACCTGCGATTTATTTTCATCGGCTTGCATAGGGATATATAGATGTCGGTCTGTCGATCATTACGTCCAATTTGAAGAAAAAAAAGAAGAAAAATCACCGACGGCAGGTAGATTCGTCAATTCGCAACACGATGCGCGCAGAATTTTTATATACGCACCGCTCTACGCTCGATTACGCATACGAAACGTAGTCCGGCGGTTTTTATTTCTCTATAGGAGGAGAAGCGAGGATCTTGGACAGCGAACGTGAAGAAAAATGAGAATTTCCGAAGTAGCTGCGTTTTTAAATGTGCCTCTACGATCATCCCGCGTCAAGGTTCGCGACTAAAAATTTACAACGACGTTACCGAGCGTTCTTTCGTCTCGTAAATTGCAACAAATTTTCCTCGCGTGAAGAAGAAAGAAAAAGGACACCGCTGTTCTTAGTAAACAAAATTACCCATTCACCTTTCTCTACGTCGATTATTGTATTTAAAGAAAAAAATGAAACTCACGCTTCTAGTAAATAAAAAAAAGAAAGATTCTCCGCGTGTTTACACTAGCTTCTATTAGACAACTCGCTGATTCACCGTAAAGAACAAGTACCGAGATAACTATTCGCTATTCTCACGATCTACGGAGATACTTAGATCACCGCACGCCAAGCTTTACTACAGCAACTTTGAGCTCGATCGAGCGACGTATAGTCAATGGAACCGATACAGCGAGGTCGTGTGTTGAAGCGTTAATGATATTTAAAACGTCTGCTTACAATCTTCCGCAAAATATCTTGCTCAATGATAATTGCTATTAGCAAAAATGAAGCTGTCAAGTGTTAAAATGGGAACAAATTTTCTAAATTTGAAAATTAACACCGATTGATCGATATCTTGTCTCTTTATCCAGAAATCTCTCTTAAACTGACGTGTCAGCGTTCGAATTGCTCATACCTTGACACCTGACCGATTTTTACGATCTCGCTACGTCGCTTCCACCGGCTATACCTTCTCTGACGCGCGAATAAAATAACGGTGTCGCATCAGCTAGCGTCTTATACGATGTTCTACGTAATATTTTCCTGGCGAACGAGGACGAGGACGAGGAGTCGCCACCACGTAGGACATGCTGTCACGTTCTTCCGCTGACGCGCGGCCAAATTCAGCGAACCGGATCGATAGAAGAGAAGCGGTTCGGTATATGCCTGTGAGGAATATACAAAGTATTCGTAAAAGGTGCTCTAACGAGGCATTCGGAGTGTTTAGCAAGAGACAAATGGGATGAAACTAAATCTAGGATAGTAGGGTAGGATCGGTATGGAGTCGACGATAGATTCGTTGCCGTTTGTATCTCGCGATTGGTCGTTCTTCGAAGGAACGGGAATTCACCGTGTGGTTTCGATATTTCTGTCGCAGCTTGTTCGGTTAACAAAAAAATTCGGTTCACCTCGGTTTCTCGGCTACAACCTTCCCGGATACATCGTTGAATCCGACAATATATGTATTTCATGATAAGCGCGTTACTCTATTCGTCTTCTTTTTTATATCGTACTTTACGTGTGTACTTTTTTTAACGCGGACGCATTTTTCAAACACATACAGAATTTAAAATTACTCGGATACGATATACAATGTAAGTGTTTTTTCTACGATGGCAATCGATACGAGACGTTTGATTATGTTTCGCGGCTGTTTCGACGGATGTCGCCTTCGTGTGACGATCGTTTGCGAACGTGTTGATGATGACGAGGGCACACGAATCCTATTGAAAGAGAGAAAAAACCAAAAAAACCAAAAAAAAAAAAAAAAAATAACACAAGAAATCATTTATAAAGAAACGTTATATTTACAAAGAAACAAACAAACAAGGGTGTGTATGAGGTTGTTACGTGACGTTTTGTGAGAGTTGTAAATACCTGTCGGTACGAGTCATGCCAGATATAAGACTGTATATTTGAAGAGCATAGAACTATAAGTCGTTATGAATAAAATAAACGGAATAAATATATTGAGAGACATATCTTCCACTGACGTATCTTCGATCCTGCATATTGTACTCTGTCTTCCAGGGAGAGGAACTTTTATCGTCGAGCAATCTTTCCGATATCCCGTAATAAAAATATCATTCTATTCCTAGAATTTTTCTCAACAAAAGAAAAGGGAACAAAATAAGACAATATTGCGCTTCCCTTACAATATTCCCTTCTTCCGCGAAACGTCAGAAAATTTTATTTCACAAAGCGAACCATTCCGCAAAAAAAGAAAAAAAAAAGGACGAGAGATAGAGAGAGAGAGAAATGGTAGAAACTCGTCGAAACTTATCGACTAAAAAGCCCCGCGCCATACTGGTTTTCCACGGGGGGCCAGCGTCGATATCTTGCGCTCCAGTGGACATTTCATTTCGTTAACGCGATTACGCGTATTCGTGCGCGTAGTATCGCGAACTCATTTTAATTGGGATTACGTTTCAATTAAAACTCCGTTCCCCCATTAGGCGGTAGCGTTGAGTTTTCGAGAATAATTGATACGAACAACACGTTATCCGATTGCGAGGCTGGATAAAATATGCATGTTTGCCAATCAAGAGGTGTACAGGGTTACACACCTGCTCTCTCCCTCTCTCTCTCTCTCTTTTCTCGTCCTACTCATCCTCCTCCTCCCTGGATAAATATGCGATTACCGGGCTCCTCTGCAGAGCCACGTGCGCCGGTGTGCACGTTACAGGTACGTGTGTGGCACACGAGACGTAACCTGGTGAACACCGATACCTCTCCGAGTTGGTCCCGATGAAATTTTAACGACGCACAAAATCGGCAGCTCGTTCACCTTTCCCACCGATCTCCACGCCCACTTTTATCCGTTGTTTCGCGCGAGTTTAGTTTTACACGAACACGCCCACCGTGAAACATCCCCGTTTTCATTTATAAATTAAAACGCATTCAGAGCAATTACATTTCGTTCGATATTTCACGAGAATTAGTCGAATTTTATTTAATACACAGACAGGTGTGTGTATAGAGAGACACGCATACACACAGGCTGTGATATTTTTTCGGGACTCTTTTGATATTGAAATTGTAATTAGGCCAACGAGACGGATTAAAACATTTCACGTATCGTTCCGAGTCATTTTTCGATTACATCGCGGATCTGTTAATTTACCAGAGCGACGTTCCTTTGGTAAACGAAACGGAATTAATAATGAAATTTGGCATTAGTTGTTGATCCCTCTTTCGAGGCTACAGGGGAAAAACACCCGATCGCGGACAACCGCGGCGGAGAATTTTTCTCGTTTTGCCTTT